CCCCCCCCCCCCCACCCCCCGTCTAGGCCCGTTTTACAGTCGCTTGCAGCGTGTCAAGTTAGTTTAGGTAGAAGGTATGACGATTATTTCATTGTAAGGAAAATGCTTATGGTGATTCTTCCTTAGCGATTCGATTCAGGGAAAGTCTTCGTGGTTTTCCCTCCACAAACCTACGTAGTATTGTGAGTTCGAAAGCAATCGATATAAACGAATGATCTGAGGCTCCAGACGATTTTTTTAACACAAGAAACGGAGAGACAAACGCTACCTTTCGGTAAATGGTTTCTTGACAGAAAAAGAAAAAACAAAGAAGAAGAAAAGGAAATATTATGTCATTGACAATGAATTTCGTCATAACATTGTCGCTGAAGTAGTCTGCGGATCCACAGCTACTTTGACAATGTTATGACGTAATTCATGATCAATAACAGGACAGACGCATGGAAAACTGACGTCAATTTGTTAGATTGCCGTTTTTGACTACAGCACCGTGAGGAAGACATGTACAGATACATGTACTGTAAAACATATAGGCAGGCCTGAGTAACAAACAGTTTCTTAACGTTGAGCTTTTTCATTTTGCAAATATAAGATTTATGGGCTTGTTTGAAAGCTAGACTGCCCTCACATCACAAGTAGTTCCGCAAAACCTCATAACACCCTTTCATAATTTATTTTCCAAGTTCAGTGGCTCACGGCGTTAGTGCAGCTTTGTTGTTTACTTGGTCCAAAATAGGAGAAGTCTGCATGTAGGATTTTATGTACTAGGATTTGTGCAAATTATTTCTGTTAGCCATGATCATTAAATATGGGATGTTAAAAATGTGATATGCATAAATTCTACGACACTATTTTAAAATAAATATTAAAATAGAAGTGTCACCTTTGCCACCCCTGTGGAAATAGTGTTGCGCTACTTGCCCCATGGGACTGATGAAGAGTAAACAGTTTTTAGTCGGCGGCTCACGGCTCAGTGATTCATTCATTTCTAACCTGCGGCATACTATTTTGCTCCCTGGAGTTTTCTAGAAATGAGAAAGACGTAACGAACCTTTTAGAGACACACTGGAGGTTTCATGTTATGCATAGTACGTTGGCATGCCACCTGAAAGGAAGAGAACAGGTTGTGAATCTTGAAATAAACGACGATCGAGTTTCGGCACTTGAGTTGTTGTGCCCCGCGGAGTGAAATTTTATTGATTCTAATTCAGTTAGCATTGCTTCAAAACTGGACTGCAAAAGAGAAAAGGTAATGTAATTTTTCTGATGTATTTTTGCATTAATTTCCTTTGGAATAGCTTTGTTCTCACTATTATTTTCCACCTTTGGAGACCATCTCTGGTGACAACTAGAACTGCGCTCTCGCTCATGTGCATGTCAACGTAGTGTTGTTCTGTTGCTTTAGACAACAAGAAAGCGCGCAAATAAAGCGTGACTCAAGTCAGGAGTGAAATAATTTTGTCGTTTCTTTCAGTTGGGTTAGGTCTAATCACTGAAGAAGAAATGAATGCGTAGCAAACACTCAAAATCATTAAACATGGACTCCGGCGCCTTGGGGGACGGTACACTGGCCGCAAGTGGAAGGTAAGCTGTAAATTGTAACATTTGTGTAAGCAGCCTTTCGTTCTCAGATTACCCGACCTAAAAACGAAAATATCACCATTCCTAGGGCATAGCCTTACGCGTCGTAAATATTTTCACGTAAAGACGGATTTCGCATTTTTAATTCGGCCTGTTACTGAAATAGAACCAAAACAATTTCAACCAGATGAACTTTAATTTACGTAAAACTCGTCAAGCGTACGAATATCGGCTCGCTCGTAGAGTTAAAATTATCCTTTGCCGTCAAAATACTTAAGACTTACACGTGCTGTGGTTTTAGAGAGTATTACATGTTCTTTTTAACGAAGGTCAATATACACTTTCGGATTAGATGTGAGCTCAAATCTGTCGGTTGCCTTCTAAACCTGGAATTTCACACTGTGCGGATAAGAAAAGCAAACAATTAGAAACTATGATTCGAAAATATTATTTTTAGATTTCCGATAGTATAAACTATCAGGAATCCGCAATATGTTTTTCTATCATTTCCAATGGGAAAGTACAAAGAATTGTATTCTATGCAATATTTGGAGCTTTGAATTAATTCTGTTTCATACGCTAGGTTAAAAATTTAGTACTAACGTTTGGACTTTCAATTATAAGGAAAGTCTGTTAAGCTTATGTATTACACCCAGGTAAATCTACAGTTTACCGAAGGCTTATACAGAAAAGTTCGTGCCCAAACAACAGACATTTACGATTCCAAATACTTAGTTCAATGTTTATCCATCTTCTCTTTTAGAAATGTGTTACTTGCATAATTTTTAAATAACGCAAAAAATCTTTTGTTTTGTTAAACCATAGCATACAAAGGAAAAACCTATAGGTGGAACAAATGGAGCCTAAATTAAATTTTGAGCAGGAAATTCCGATATAATGGCTATTGTTGTGGTCATGATTTATTTTTAAAGAAATACCTGTGACTCAGTCCATAGCAGACATGCCTATGGGCAACATACAAGTATACTCTTGGTCTTGGTGCATAGGCTTGTGTGATTTAAAACAGATATCTCAGTCTACAATGCATGGGATTGACAATTTTGCTAAATACTTTAGTTTTAGACGAGGAAATAGTCAACAAGGTGCAGCCAAGTTGACTATTGCTCAGAGAAAATGAGGTCAGCCAGTAGATACTCTAAATTATTGCAGTCTAAAACCTACCATTTTAAGCTTTTTTGAGCCTAAAATTAAGAGGAATTTTCTGTTTTGAGAGCAACCTGTGCGTGATTGTCTATAGTGAATATACACTACAGTGGGAGAACCAATCAGATTTGTAAACTTCCAGTCGAACCCTCTAAGTGCCTATGAGTAAGCAAGCACTCTTTGGACTAGGAAAAGGGTCTACTTTATAGGAGAGGTGAAATGTTTATATGTGCATTTTTTTGTAGCTGCCTGACAATAACAAAGTGTCCATTTAGAGAGAGGTGTCTCGCTCTGGGAGGTGTCCATAAAAAGTTTATTAAATTGTTACTGCATTGTAAAATATTTATTAGCCGAAAAATTCCGTAGTATATTATTTCTGTCAGATAAGACTGATTTAAAAACAGTATACTTCATCATGGGGCTGTCATCTTGAAAATTGTGACAAAACTATTTAGAGAACACCAGATGTGTGGGGGAGACAGTAAGGCATAGGCAGACGACTGTCTTCAATTGACGTCAGTTCATGTCCTGTATTTCACTGATACCAGTAGCAATATCAGATTAGCCAATGAGGCAATATTTCTACTTACAGGCACAGTGCTTATGTATGTATAGTTCACTTGTTTCCCACTCCTCCCTTCCTTGACCTCTGTGTCATGTTATTTTTGAGCAACCTAAGCGGTATATCAGAACTCTACATCAGTGGCATTCAGACACAAATCTAGATAAAGATTTTCAAAGTGTAGGAAAAACATTTTCCATTGCACGTATAAGGCTAGGGCGCTTTTAATATTCTTCATGTACCTGCTTCGTCGTTGCATTATATTTCACATATACAGCTTAGGAGATGCATACAACTGGCAGCTGTATGAACTGTAAACTTCAGGAAGTCAAACTGTTCTCTCTATGTCAGCTTAGAGAGACTTTTATTAATAATACCAATTTTATGCCATATTGATATCTTATTGGGAAATATGGTGATGATCTGCTCTCCAGGAGTGTAGTCAGTTAAGAGTTTTATGTTTTTAAAGCAGTAAAAGGCATGATTGTCAACACTTGACAGCTGGCCTTTTTTTAACTCTTAAATATATTGGGATAATGGCCTTGTAGTAATATAATGAAGCAATATATTATTCCACCTGGAGACTCAGAGGGAGCTTACTATAACTATATTCAAGTGTTAATATAATTTCTATTTTATTCCAAGCTTTCATCGATCTATGGCATCATCAGGGAATGAAAAGAAAATGATCCACTATGCATGATATAAAAGTTCCGAAGGACAGCTTTAAATGGTTACTGTTAATATAAACTAGATAACTAAAGATTATTCCCAAATTAGAAAGTAGAGTATACGGTTCTTTGCACAATATACTTCAATTTGCAGGTAATATTATTACGCAATTCATGAACAATTTGGGAAATATTGTTTCAAAACATTTCTATCGCTGGCTGTAAAATCGGTGGGACTTATTTCTCAAATTGGACAGCTCTTTGTCCTGATACAAACATGAAAAGATGATCATGTTCTGTCGGCCTCCTATGGTGCAAGGTCCTAATTCCTACATGCTGTTTGTGAGACTTACATGATGGATTGCTGTTCATATTTAACTTCAAAATGATGAAATTTTGCATCAGTTGTCAGTATGTAATGTACCTTGGTCATTGAAATTACATTTGTATGTTGAATTAGCGCAGAAAGAGTTAAGAACCTGGAAAGTCAAAGTTTTGTTTTAAGAAAAATATTTATTAACATACTACATATAAGTCTTTGAAACAAATATTGTGGTGGACACATCTTTGATCTTTGTTGCTCTGAGGTCAAAGCAGTGTAAATATTTATGTGTTATTCTAATTTCAGATTGATTGACATTTCTATTGTTGTTAGATGCGAGTCAGAATTTCTTTCTTCATCAAGAAAATATCTCCTTTTAATAATTCTTTCAGTCAGTAACCACTGCTGAATTTATTTTAATCATATAATTTTAATTCATCTGCCTATTATTTCACAGAACAATGTACTGGAAATAAAATTTTAAAATATAAGTATCTAACTTTTGCTTATCAGCTGTCCCTCTGTTATTCCTTTTTGTGTGTGCATAGATGTAATGTTTTTCATCAAGTTCCAATAAATGTACATTTATTATTGTTGATAACAGTATTTTTTCTAATACACAGGGTGCTTTCTTCAAAGCAGCGAGCCCCTCCCCCACCACAGAAGGCCATAAAATGTGATCCAGTGGACGTAGAGATACAAGAAGATGATATTCCAAAAACCTTGAGTACAACACATCGCAAAGCTTTACTAAAACAATCACAGGATCGAGCTAAAGAGCCCCAAGCTCTAGTGTTTAGGAAACTTGATGATCATGACAGTGATCAGGGGGGTGGATTAAAAGCGAAGCCTGGCAGCGAGCAAAAGGTGTCACTTGCACATGCTGGAGAAAAACTTTTGGCAACATTTTATGGAATGCTTTACACTAATGACAGCGCTGAAAAAGAATGGAAACTTGAGGTGGATGGATTCCTTCCCATTTGCTTTGTTCAGGTCCAAGGAAATGCGAACAAGCCATTCAGAATTATTGCCGTTGGGAAGTCAAAAAGAGTAAGTTTTCTGGTTTGGTCTACATTGAATAAGTTTCCCGAATTATCGGTAGAATATCTCTATTACCGTGTTCTGTGCACAGTTATTCTACCTTTTAAAAATTAACTTTTAATCAGGTTATAACACTATTCAGATGTGTGCCTGATAAAAACTTCTTTGCCTTTCACAGTATGTTGCAGTCTAGTAGTTTGCATAATTTATTTGCAAACCCTGAGAAACTAATTAGTAGGTGTAATTAATTTGCTTGTTATTTTTCCAAGTGCAAATTTATGAATGTAGTATTTTTCTGCTTGCAAATTTAACCCCTGAACTTAATTTAGCTTGTTTTGTTTTCTAATGATAGGTTATCTGAAGGTAAATATTTTTACGAGTGAGGGAGGCCATTAAAATAGGAAAAAAATATTTTTATTTTGCGATTTTCAGATTTTTTTTCCAGCAGTATATTAAACTAAATTAACTGCCTTTTAAACCAAATTTTTGGCTGGTCATTAAATCAGTATTTAAATGGTCAATCTGTTCTATTTTTTCTAGATAATGGAGTACCAGGTGAATGTAAATACAACTTGTGCAAGGAACTCAACATTTGTCAAGTGGCAGGATGGAGTGTCAATGTTTGGCATACGTTTTGCTAAAGAAGATCAAGCTGAACAGGTATTCATCACAGAGAGATAAGAAACAAATAAAAACTTAGTAGAATTTATAACTTTTGGTTAGCCTGTCTTGGAACCAAATTTTACATAATGATTGTAGTTTACAAGCACACTTGCTTAGAGAACACATTCAAAACAATTTTGACTCTTTCCAACCAATCATAATATCATTCACAGGGAGAAACAAACATGTCATCTCAGTCATGGAGTACAGTTAAAAGGCAACCTCATGTACTGTAGCCTTATAAATATCTACATGCAGTACATGTACCTTCTTATGGGGTACTGACTAGCTTATACATCCTGGCCAACTATGAAATTAATATTAATACCATGAGTTTATATGAAATCAACCTAAATGAAATTCATGTTAAACTTAAATGAAAATTTATTGTCACTGACAGTCACAATTTCACCTGAAAGATCCAACTTTAAGCACAAAATATGGAGAAATTTAGGCCTACTTACAGTTAGCATTGTTTTTTATAGGTCTACAATGTAATTTTCCTTTCGTTTGTTAGTTTACATAATGTAAAATCCTTTATAAGTGGAAACACAATCAAAATGAAAAATGAAAGTGCTTATGCAACAATAACATTATGCTTTATTAAAGCATAATTATGTTGTTGTTACTTACACCCACTAACCCCCCTCCCTCCCCACACTGATCTGCCATTTGGACTGTAGTCAGGCAACTTTAAAAATTTGATAAAAATGTATTGCCACTGGCTTAAGAATTATTTCAGGACGTTTCGGTTACTGCTGCAACCTTCTTCGGCTAAAAAACGTTAATAAACAACAGCGTCCCTGATGTTATATGAAGAAAAAAGAAAGGAAAAAATGTACAATAAATGTGTTGATGACGGTTCTATGGAAAGGGACTTGGAATTCAAAACAACGATAAATCTATATATTACTAATTATTATTACCCTATTGTTTTACTCTCGTTTTGAATTCCAACCCCCCTTTCCACAGACCCTTCATTAACACATTTTATTGTACATTTTTCTCTTTGTTTTTTATTCATATCACATCAGGGAAGCTGTTGCTTATGTACATTTTTTTAGCTGGGGGAGGTTGAAGCAGCAACTGAAAGGTCCTGAAACAATTTTTAAGCCGGTGTCAGCATACATGTATTTTATCAAGTTTTTTAGTCTAAATAACTTTTGGTGATAGGTTTAATTTGTAAAAATAAGGTACATTTTTATTACCAAGTACTTGGCATCAATGTCTTCAGTTTTATTCCATTTTAATACAGCTACTGTAAATATTAGCATTGAGTCTTAATTAGTGTACTCAGTGTAAGCCAAGTATGTGTGGATGTTTGCCAGATGTTTTCATCTAGACATTTTTTCAGTTGTTTAATGTTCAGAGCAGGTTTGATTTAAATTTATCTTTGGATGTACACTGTATATTGAGAACAGTCAGTTAGAAAGAAGTGCCTGTAAATGTTACTATTGAAAGCTGGTAAGAAAAAGTGAATAATTTTGTGTAATTTGTAATTTGCTCACATTCAGTCAGACTCAATTTTGTAACCCTCTGTTAATTGTTATTAGGGAACTTTGTGAGTGCAAGGGTACGTGTATTTTCAAAATTCAGTGTCAAATGTGTGATCTACCTGAAGTTGGAACTCTTCCAAACATGGATTATTTCTCTGTTTATCAGAGCTGCATTGTAGTGTGTTACAATGTCTGCCATTTGAAAACACTGACCTAGAGCATATGTTTACATAGATTGTAGACTGTTCAAGTGGTTGGCTGGAAGACTGTCGGTTATTGTAATCACATATTTCTTGGTGACACTGTAACTTGGCACTGACTTCTAAACATTTTCCTTGGTGTTGCTGCATAGTGAGTTGTCTCTGCATTTGTGAAGTAAATTTTGAAGTCTGTTTTGATTCTTATTTACAGTTCTTAACCACAGTGAAGAGAATGGCCTCCACTTTAAATAAAGCTGCATTACTTCTGAAGCAGCCAGAAAGAAAGGTATGCATAGTGTTACCTAAAATAGTACACTGCTAATTTGTTTGAAGAAGCAAATTTTACCATCTTCTATATTTACACGATTGTATGAATGGCAGAATAGCTGCTCTCCTATAGGAAGGAAGAGATATAACTCAAAGGCTATTTTTTTCTTACATATGACATGTTTTCCCTTTGCATTTATTTTTCATATATTATGGATCTCTCTCAGTTGTCTTGGATAATAGTAAATGGAATGAACAGTCAATTTTGATAGACTTGAATACAAAATACACATCCAAAGTTTGATATGTTTTGGATGCTTCTATGATGCTTGCATGTATGAATAGATCAAGTCTCTATTTAGGTATCTAGTACCAGTTATAATATGTGACTGAAGCTTACAATATAACAATATGTTGCCTAACAGAAAGGTTGTGACAATAAAGAAAGAATATCAACAGAAGGATAGTTTGCTGATATCCTGCCAAACTCCTAGAACTAATATAAAGAGAAAGTGTGGCAACAAGTTATGAGAATTAACATTTTGAATTTGTCTGTGTCTACAGGCCGTAATAAGACAGATATCTGATCCTGATTCAACAAGTAATGTACAGCATACCAAAGTATCACTGATGATCAAACTTCCTGATAAACAGTCAACAGTCATGTCTGTTCCTGGACTGTAAGTAGTATTGCTGTATTTAATACACAGTCATCTTTCCTTGGGTGATTTAAAAATTAATAGTTATTATCTCATCCTCATTTGACTTTGTTACACCCAGGAGAGAATTTGCTATTTAAAATCTAGAACCGGCAGATTGTTTTCTGAGTAGTTAAACCTTAGTTTTCTCTGTAACCCTTTCAATGAATTTTGTCTCCTCTTTTGTTACATCAAGTCTAGAAAGAAAACAACTTTGATGCAGGTCAGTAAATGCCCTACCCATACTTCACCCATATGTGATGGGTCTGGTGCCTAAATACATGTGAAATAGGCTATGAGTCATTGGAAAGAGTGAGCGTGACAGTGTGTCGTAATGACAAAGCTGAATAGGCCAGCACAAGTTACATGTTGTATGGCGACACATTCCAAAATTTGGTAACTAAATTTTGGAATGTGTCACCACACAACATGTAACTTGTGCTGGCCTATTCAGCTTTATCATTACGACACATGTGTTATGATCACGTTTCACTTACACTTTGATGTGTTGAATTTTGTTAGGTTGACAATGAGTGAGCTGTTTGAAATGATTTGCGAAAAGGAAAATCTCATTCCTGCCGAGCATCAGTTGTCTTTGCCAAGAACAGGAGCAAGAAAAGTAACCTTTGACTCTGGTACAGCCATTGGTTCATTGAAGATCAGGGAAGTTGCGATTATAAGAACAGTGATGACTTCACAAAACATTGCTGGGAGTGTCAAGGTTGAAGATGAATCTGTAGAGGATTTACTTGATGCAGAAGGAGAGGAGGTAATGGTTTGAATCCCAGGGGGACTACGATATAAAAGGACGGGGGTGCTCATCAGAAATTTTGAAAAACAACCCCTTAGAGGTACCAAAATCCTGTTTTGTGAGTGTAGCTAGAAATTATTTTTTTACCCCTTTTAGTTTAGGTACTAATTATAAAAAAAAACATTAAGTGACACTTTCATAACTTTTGATAGTGATAAAGATAATTGCTTCGAATACCTTCTACTCTTAAAGTTGTCTTTTTGTCTTAAAGCTGTCTTTTTTTTCGGCTCAATACCCTAAGAGATACCACGAAAGCTCCCACTGTGGACCTTTTGAGGCTGAACACCCTAAGAGTTACCAAAAACACTTTTTTAACCCCTAAAAGGTACAACGAGTACCCCATTCTTTTTATATGGGAGTCACCCTACCCCTAGGTTTGAATACATTTTGGATGTAGTTTCAGAATGTCATTCGGTTCAATCCAGGTGGTCAATGATTACTGAAGAAGTCTTTTTTCTTGACAGAATAAAATTCTTCAACTTATCCTGCCAAACGGAGTGAAGAAATCATACCGTGTGTCTCTGGACATGACAATGAAGCAGTTGGTGATGCGAGTGTGTTCACGGGAGGGCCTCAACCCTCGTCATCACTCTCTACAGGAAATAGACTTCAAACATGAGTTCCTTGAAGCAGGCAGTACTGTTGATGAAATTGGTGTCAGTCAAGTTAGATTAATAGATAAAAGAGGTAAGAACTGAAAAAGGTTACAAGCCAAGTAAATATTGGGTTGTTATTGACTGAAAGTGACGGCTAGAGATGAATATCTTTGGCTTCAGGTTAGGCAATGTAAAGATTGAGTCCAAGAGCATCAAGGTGTGTGCACAACAGAGTCACTAAGAAACAATTTAATGATAATAATTTTAATTATGATGATGATGATGATGATGATGACAACTATGTTCTTATTTGACACACAACGTTAACTCAGTGCATGTAAAAAAGTATACAGCATGTATGTAGTAACCCAAAATTTAAAAGCACTAAATTACTACTGTAATTAAAATAGAAAAATATTCATTTTAATGCTACTGTTAATGATAATACTAATATTAATTACTAAGTTCTATTGCTAAATTCTAGTTCCAACACAAATGCTTATTCTAATATTAACTGGAAGGCTAAATGCTAAGCCTAACCTAAATTGTAATGCTAATACAAACGCTTATGATACTAATGCTGAATGATAACTTTAATGAATGCTAATTTATGGAAGGGACCGCCTGGTGATGGTATGATTCAGGTATAGTGCATGTGGAATACTTTTGATTTTCTAACTGATCACTTCATTTCTCAATACAGCTCTAAAGCGTAACAGCCTTACAATAATCAAGGCCTCTGTAACCGATGATGACTCGCCATCTAATTCCCCACATAACCGTAGTGAGTACTTGAACGCTAATCCTGATTTCGTTGATTATTGGTAACCTTGTAACATTACTCGTGAACCTGTTACTTTGCTGTGATGAGGTCAAAATTCTGTGAATGCCAAGCTTTTCTCAAAACTAGAGCAATGCAATCTTTCCATAGCATGCGATGGGCTGAAACTTTAATAACTGGTACGAGTCAGACTGGAATGACTGATTACGAATCATTCTCTTGGTTCTCTAATTCCCCATAATTTACTCTGTTTGCCCACCAAATTTTGCATAAACTAATTGTAAGTTGTGAAATGCTCTTGGGAACATTCTGTGTATATAACTGCGATGATCATTCATATCTTCATAAGGACAGCTCCGTTTGCCACGTCAGTATATTGTCACTAATTCCGGGGATAGTCTACTTGTAAAAAATTGCGGACGATTTTATTTTCGGACCAAAAAAGTGTCCGAAGATAAAACCGTCCGAAATTTGTAAGCGTTCGAAATATTTGCAGTACAGTATAAAATTTTTAAGTAGCTACATACTATTAGCTCGTAGTTTCCTTTATGAGGCAAACTCAAGTTGAGACATTGCTTGAGATACGTAACGGCTTGATAGAATTTGCACTGATTTCTCCCCGGTATATCTCTAAAACCTTGAGGGTCCTATAAAACTGTCATTTTCACAGATGTCTTTTCTGTCTAATTCCTGTTTTGTAGGCGTAAATTTACTTAAGCTGTGTTTCATCACAGTGTCCGTAAATTTTGTCCGAAATTTGTCCGAAATGAGTTAAAAAGTGTCCGAAAGTGAATCGTCCGAAACTTTTTGCAAGTAATGTAGCTTCATAATTTGTCGACGAAGCACAACAGTTTCGATGCTTCTCAACAGCCAACGGTCCTCACATGAAGTACATCTCAGTATTTATTTTGTACTCGTTCATTTTTCCAGAACACAGGAAAAGCTGTGGCGACGGGTTGGAGTTAGATTCGTCTGCAACGATCGAGGGAGACAAGGAAAACAAGATGTCGTGGCAGCAGAGAAGCAAATCGTTAGAAGTACTTGTAGATGAGAAACAGAATAATGCGTTGTCCCAGCAGAATGGACACATTACCAAAGAGGTGAGCAAATTCAACCGGCCTGCAATGGTTGTCATGGTTCAAATAGCTCGTCGTAAATTTGCCCCGGGGTACCCCCAACAGCTGTTCACTCTCCGCCGCGCTAAGTACCGTTTGAGAAGGTCACCTGCCCAAGTCACTCCTGCTATTTAAAACGTAATTTTAGCTGAGTGATCATGAAGCAATCTATCCCAAGATTTTAGAGGCGCCAGCTTCACTGGACAATAGACCAATTTCGATATATTAAAATTCAGCCTAAAACAATAGACCTCAGTACGAGGCTCTGGGAATAACTACAGAGTTTGTGGGGTTTATTCCGCAGAGCCTCGTGGTGAGGTCTTGTGTTAGTCTGAATTTTAACATATCGAAATTGGTTTAGTCAAAAGAAAACTACGTCACTTATCGGATTCCCACACGGCAATTGTGTTAAACGGCATAACTGTAGGGTTCTTTTTTTATTTTTATATCATCTACGATTATTTTGAAACCGGGTATAAATATACATTATATGTATGTTTGGTAGCTGGAAGTTTCGCTCCCAAGCGAGTTCGCACCCACCGAGTTCGCACCCACCGAGTTCGCACCCACATAGACTCAACTAGCGATCAAGTGCTTAAAATGTATCTTTCTCCTACCGAGCAAAAAAAGACAACATTATGGGCATAATGAAACAAAATCTTACAAAACATGTTTATTTCTCGCTATTTAATCCGTTGAAGGTAAAGGCGAACTCGAAATAGAAAGTTTTTAGTGAGTTCAGGGGTGTGAGCTCGCTTGGGTGCGAAACCGGTAACATTCGTATGATTCTCTGTTCGAGTTAAGATGGCGTGGCATAGCCTACTGATTTTTAAGGTACTTTATTTCTCAGTTTATTATATTCATTGTTTCAGGATTCTCAGAAGCACTCTGCGTCTAATGGCTCAGTTCCAACAAAAGAGAGAAGAAACTCCAGTGAAGCAACTACGATAAAAAAGCCGCCAATCCCTCCCTTACCTTACGCTTACAAGTTTGCGAATCTAAAGCAAAACCAGCCTGGTAACCTGACAAATGGAGCGTTACGAGATCAAGACCTGAGCCCAATTAAAAAGAACGGTGTAACGTCCGCTTCCACTCCAGATCTGAGTACTATTTCATCGCGATCAGACTCTCCTGACATCAAGACATCCACACCGGATACTAAGAGCAGACGCAGAGCGGCTCCGCCTCCTCCCCCGCGTCCAGCAGCTCCTAAGGCGTTATTTACGGGTGTGAAATCTGAGACACAAGTTGATGGCGCTGGAGTGGCCGTGAAAGCTAATAATCCCCCTCCTGTGGCTAGCTCTAATGCGTGTCATACACCAGCTGTAGGCGACGTGAAGTTGAAGCCGAGTCACAAGAAACGACCTGCACCTCCGCGGCCGGACCGCCCCACTCCCCCACAGCCTGCACCAAGACTAGCGAAGCAGGGATCACGGGAGAGTAAAGTAGTTAATGGAATAGGTAGAGAGAAGGAAGTGAGCGTTCGGTTGAAACAAGATAAGGAAGCAAGAAGCATTGATCGTGCTTCACTGTCATTGGACCTTGAAACGAATCGTCACTCTCTAGACAAGGAACCCGAACAGGATGAATTGAGCGACTTGAGGGGTATCCCCATATTTGTTCCTCCTCCCCCTCCGGATGAATTACCTCCCCCGCTGGACGAGTGTGAGACCCCGGTTGGACCATTGACGGATTTTGAAGCGGATATACTTGAAGGTAAGAGCTGAAGATACTCTATTGATGAGACACGCTATCACTAACCCGTCAAGTCCTGAACGTCGTGTCTCTTAGGCGTACAATTGTGCTCAACTGTCCTGTCTGTGTGTAATTTCTTGGATTATTGCGTGCAAAGCTACAAAACTGAGCAACCACCGAAGACTTAACATGGACCACTGTAGAGCCATCAGTGATGGAATTGTACGGGTCGAATCTCAGATTATAAAGATTCTCGATGTTCCTGTGATTGTCATCTCTCCATACTTTCCATGACCTTAAAGTTAGACTCGGATACATAATGTGGTAGCACTGCGCGAAGATTACTTACTGGTGATCCTGTGGAAACATGGTAATCCGCAGTAACTGTCTGGCGGTAACTGTCTGGCATCCCTGTGGTATATCATAGACTGTACCCAGCCCCTCTTCACACTTTCTTGTCGTCACGCCCGCGGCCACGTTTTTTCTCGCGCTTTTTTACCTCTTACGCTCGACAGGTTAAGAAAAATTAAAATTTCAAAGACGTGATCCCTCCACAGATGCTTGATATTTTGATAAAACTCAGTTTCTTTCGTTTTGCAGGCTCCGCGAGTGACGATTTTCCCGGAACACTCAACGGTTATGTAGGCATGCAGAATATTGGAATGTTTCCTGGTCACGGTGCTAATGATTCACGAGCTCCAACTTTGCTAAAGTCAAGACAGGAGACTGCTCTCGAGTCGGTCCCTGAACAAGGTTACGTCCCTGATGGAAAAGATCTATTTCCTGTCGTTCCACCTCCTCCGCTTTATTCTGAACCCGAGTCTTCAAGCTTAACTGATATTCCACCTCCGTTATTAGAAACCCAGACAATACAAACGAGCCAAGAGGGTGAAGAAAAGGAACATGATTCAGGGTTCGATCAGAGCCCCGAGCACCTTATTGTAACTCCTCCTGAAGACCTGTCGGATGATGTCCAAGTAGGGCACTTGGAGGAACCTGATACTGGATCCAGTTTGGACGTCATTAGTGCCATTCCACCACCGGCGGATTTTGAAACGCCTCCACTTACCCCTCCCTGTCAGTTTGCTAATCCTAACGTGGTACCCCTAGAGGGGTTTCTTAATTCTGTGGAAGATGATAAGAAAGAAGAACCAGAAAAAGAAAAACCTCGAAAGAAACTCGACATCAGTGAAGGTTTATTTCCATGGATGAACGAGCCTCAAGCGCCCGTCAATGCCGTTATACCGGTGGACGAACCTAAGGCCACAGAGGATGATATGATTGTTAAGATAGACATAGGATATACTGCCCCTGCTAATGAAAATCAAAAAGACTCTACTGAGACCATGGCACATCCTACATCACCAAGTGTCGATGCTCCAAATGCAAGTGTCACTACAGATGTGGATTTTAGGCCGGTACCTCACGAAGATGAAAAACCTGCAAGGCCAGAACTAGAAGTCAAACAGAATGTCGTGCCAGTAATACCTGAAGTGAGCGTAGAAGCAAAGCCTAGCGTGGAATTACAGCGGAGTTCGATCGGTGACCAGATCAAGGAATCATTGCAAAAACCAAAGATAATTGAATCAAGCCAAATTGAAGCTAAAACAATCATGGTTACAAATGAGAATTCCAAGGAATCAGGATCACAACAAGTTTTGGACACGACTATAAAACCGGGTGAACCAGAAACTACCGCCAAGGCAGTTGAGTTTGTCAAGGAAATGGAAGTTAAAGTTGAACCAGATGTTGATGTTGAACAGTATGCACGCTCGTCGTTTACTCCAACCATAGAAGCTGCGAGACCAGAACCACAGGTGAAACCTGCAAAACCGGATTTGCAAGGTAAACCTGGAAAACCAGAAACCAAAGCTAAGCCAGTTCCGGTTGTCCGAGAAGCGGAAGTTAAAGTTGAACAGTTCCAGTCCTCGTCAGCTAAGACTCCTGTTGGACCAGATCCTTTGCTTGACCTTGCCATACTAGAAAATCAAATAAAACCGGACAAACCAGACCGAATAATTATACCAGCCACGGTCATTAAAGAACCAGAAATCCAGCAGCCTGCGCCCTCAAAACCCGCAGGGACACAACCCATAAAACCGGAACAACAAGTTAAACCTGAAAAACCAGAAAAAACAGTGAAGCCAGTTCCGTTTTTCAAAGAAGCGGGCGTGAAAGTTGATGTTCAAGCGCCCGCTCTCTCGTCATTTAATCCATCCACAGAACCCGCAAGGCTGGACCCTCAGGTTTTACCAGAAAAACAAGAATGCATCAATGCAAGTCCTGTTGAAGAAATTATAGCGCCACGGTCCAAACCTGAAGTAGAAATGTATGTAAAGACGCTTCCAGATGAAACGCATGATCTTTCTGTACAAGAGACTCCCATTAAGATTGTAACTGTTGGAAAGCAGGATTTTGTAGCAGAGGCCCCTGTTACTCCAGAAACAAAACCTATTTCTGGTTCAGATGACAAACTGAAGGATTTAGAAGCAAAGCTGCAGGAGTTAGATCAAGAACCTGTGCCTTCTTCGAGTGAATTGAAAACACTGGAGAGCAAGACAACTCCTTTAGTTTACAAGGAAGTCGAACCTGTAGTCCAAACGAAAGATCCTTCCTCTGAAGAGGTGATCGTGGCTGAGACTAAACAAGTGGAGTTCTCAAGTTATGGACATTTTGAGAAGCTGTTTAAGATAGACTCTGACGAGCAACGTACAAAAGAAAATGCTCGTGTCCAGGACAAAGAAGACAAGACTGACGCCGTTACGGAAATACAGTGCGTTCAACCTGAGAGCGCTTCATCGCACGTAGAAGAAAAGCCGGAGCTCAGTTTAGATCTGTCATCTTTAAGGCAATCTTCTGAACCGCCCTGCCCTCCTTCTTCTTCACCACCGGCTGTTTCACCTCGCTCGTCCAGCTTACCCTCCCCTGTAGCACTTGACAGTGCCCGGTCGACTGATTCTGGGTTTGCGACTCTTGAGAAGCCCAAGAGCCCCTCTTCACTTGACAGTAAACCGCTCGGGCCCACCCCGCTCAGCAACTCGGCGGACAAGACTGCAGGATGGACAAGCGTGTCAATTACTGCGGGTGTATCGAAGCCTCCCGCATCACAAACAGAGGAACAAACAGCAGGTATACATGGAAAACCGCCTACAGCAAAAAAACCTATAAACGTAAAGCTTCAGCGGCCGCTGAGTATGCCAGCAGGAATTCTGAGAGACTTCAAGAGCGGTACTGTGCAAGACCAAACCAAATCTGAAGAGTCTGATGTAAGGGAGAGCAATGCTGGTCAAGAGAAAAGTAAATTGGCAAAATCTGATTCAAGAACATCCAATTCGTCTGACTCTAGTGGGATTTCCTCGCCTTCACCGGCGTCGTCTCCTATTCAAATGTCCGCTACAGACTCTGAAGATATGCCCAAGCCTCCTCCTTTCACTGTTCCGCCGCTCCGCCGCTACTCCGACCTCGCAGCTGATCTAAGCTTCATCTCATCGGCAGCTAAGGCAGCAGAGAAAGCGAACGAGTCTGAATCCAAAGCAGACGTTCCTCCGAAGCCCCCGAATATGCTACTGAGGAGAAACCCTGGTACGGCTCCTGTAGAGAGACCCAGGAGCTGGGTGGGACCAGAAACAGAGACTAAGCAGAGACCCAGGGTGTGGTCGTCAGCGTTTAAACCGGTTTCATTTGATGCACAAGCAAAGAAAGGCGTGAGGCCAGTTGATTTCCAAGCGAAATCCTCTCCTGCACCTCCTGCAGTTCCAAGCAAGCCTACTGTCCCATCAGCAGCACACTCCACTGCGTCACTGCATAGCGAAGCTCCAGTGACAGGAACATTAGAAACAAAGCAACCCGATAACACCACACAAAAAGATGTTGAAAAGTCTCCGAAGACAGCTCCCTTGGTCCTGGGTAAGCCTTCAGTGGTTTCAGCGGGTAAACCCACAGCTCCTGTGGTTTCGATGTCAGCCAGGGAGGAACAATCTTCTAGTAATCAAGTTGTAAAGTCTGACTCCAAGGTAGAGAGGACGCCAAGTCATCCTCTGGCGAAGAAAACAGACTCTGGAAAAACCAAATATGAAATTATCTACTCTAACACTTCGTCCACGTCCCAAGGCGCTCCAAAAGTGCAAAGTGACAAAACCGATGGTGGATCTCACATTTCCTCCAAATATATGTACAACGCTGCTGCATTACGTGACCAGATAATGCGTGACCAGTCACGGGCTCAGAACAAAGTAACGCGAGATAGGCCTCAGTCGGCCATTTTTAGTGGTTCCAAGTTCCAGATACTGCCTGCCAATGAAAAGTCGCAGAGCAACAATGGCATGCCTTCAACAGATGCCAAGAAACCTCCTACAATCCAAGCTAAAGGAGTGTCTTGGACACACACTAAACAGCAAACGAATGACCACAGCAGCAGCAAGCCAGACATGCCACCTCCTCAACCCTCAGCTAAGCCACAGCCACCTGTGAAGTCAGCAGTAGCAGACAGTAAGCCGCTCCCGGCTGTGGTGATGAGAACCAAGACCGCGGAACAACAGGACCCCACTAAGAGACATTCGCTGCCTACCTATATTATCGAGGGAGCTGATCGGAAGCCACCAGTCAAGACGACTTGCAACAAGGAGGGCAATGTAAGAACTTTCTACGACATACAGTATATGAAGCGTACATGATAGTTTTTATGATTGTGTATTATATTTATTATATTCAACTAATGAAGTGTTTTTTATAAGAGATAGTTGACAATAGGTCTGAATGGGTATTTTTTTTCTCACTGAAGTGTTGGAGTTGAAATTTGAAGGGGAAAGACAAGAACCTCCTTTTCCCGCTCCGCTTCTCCCCTCCCGCTAAATAAATAGAAAAAAGCGGCATTTCTCCATTTAGAAAAGGCATTGTTGCAGGCCATGCTTACCCACCCTCGCACGCACATGCAGTCACTCGGCCTCTCGCTTCTTTTAGGCACGTGATTTGGCTCGCTCCCTGTACTGATAAAGTGACGTTGTTATTTTCAGTTTAATTTCATCTTGGAGGAGGCACAGACAGACACAACTGTGGTGCCTCGCGGAGTTGTAGCAGCCATGAAAGCCTTGAGGGAGAAAGGGGGAATAACGGAAGGTATGTCTTTGTCTTTGTTCATGTCGCGAACGTGCTTGAAAAAGTTAACAATGAACAATTTTTAACGTAATTTTTCAAAAATATAATGTATAAGAAAATTATCCTCAGGCAAGCTAACTGAGTTCCTTTGGCCACTTTAAAACTGAGGAACTTGCAACTACCGCATTATATTATTCCCATTAAAAATTTCTTTGTCGTGAAATAAGCTACATAACAGACAGAGCGGTTACTTCAGTAATTCAGAACACCATTTAAACCTGTCAGAACTTAAACACAGGAAAAGTCTCCAAGGTACTGCTAAATAGGTAAGTCGTGAGTCTACAACGCCATTGCCTAAGAAAGCGACATCACCATTTTGATTCATAATAAGCAATTCCAAGATATTTTTTTTATCAATGCAGAGTTCACAAAACGGAAAACACAACATAACGCATATAATGTGTCATTTGAAAACCGCTCTGTTGATGTTCTACGTTGTAACGTTTAAGTACTGGCTTTACTTAGGGGCCGTTTGATCGGCTGTTTCTAGTATGATGAGTAAGAATTCACGACAAATCTGTTCTATTTGCCAGGAGAATGAAAGAAAATGTCCTTGAATCTCATGAAGTAAGTACATGTAAGGTTGACTTTTGTCTTTGCCTGATAAATCTCTAACCTTCTCACGTTTTCATTTTTATATCATTGAATCTTTTGCAATTTAACTCGGATCTTTCAATCTCACTAATGCTTCCAGTAACACTTCCAAACGGTTCTAACCATTTCTACGAATTTAAGCGTTTAGTTGTTTTAATCAGTTCATCTTGTTATTAAAACTTAATCTCTTATTTCATGCTTGTTAGAGCGGTTTTCGTTTGAGTGTTGTAAAACTCAAATTAAAGCAAATGCAACTGATGCAGCCAAAAAGCAACGCAACGGACCTAAAATTGGTGGAGCAAGATTTTTTAAACCAATCGCAAAGCAAGTTTAAATAAAACCAAAGCAAATCCGAATCACTTTCGTCTTTCAATTGAAAACCGCTCTACAGGCATTAATGAAAAAGCTAACTGATTAACAGTAAACTCTGAAATCTTAACTAAACAACAATGCAATGTTAATATGCATGATGATATGTTCTTCCCTCCTTGAGCATAGCCATCTGTTCCATTTATTTTTCTATGGTGCTCTTTTGTATTTGTTCTCCAAAGTAATTAATACATTATTGTGGAGTTTCTCTGATTGACTGATTGATTGGTTGATTGATTGATTGATTGATTGATTGATTGATTGATTGATTGATTGATTGACTGATTAATTGATTGACTCAATCGTAACTACTGTTTATTCCAAAAGTTGTAAACAACTGTGTCCTAATGGTTAAGATAGTCATTAAGACTAACCCAACAGATGAATCTCTATAGGCACGATATCACTATGATTGTTTTATTCTCCAATTAAGAGAGTCGCATTTCATCGAGTGCCAAGTCACTGGTGTTCAGTGAGCAATTATCTATTTGCTCAGGGTAGTTGTCTTCATGGACCACAAAATTCTCAACTGACAAAAAAATGTCCAGTTCTCAAATTTCTGCACAATCGGACTTGTACTTGGCGCTACTTTCTTACTACTTACTGTTACTTGTACTACTTTCTTGGCGCGCGCTCTTATACATGACCATGCATGACGTGGCGTGTGAAGTTGCGTGCGCAGTAAGGATGCACAGAAACAATTAGCGCGAGCGTCCTTCAACCCACTAGAGTCTCGCTGCCCACGCAAATTCACACTCCATGTCATGCATGTCTCAAGTCTCGGAAAAAAATTAATGTTGGAAAATTTTCGCGCGAACGTCATTAAGTGTGACGCGTGTCCTAGCCACAGTAAGGAGTAATGAGTGTTTTTGTGCTAATTTGTTTCAGATACGCAGTGGGTCCAAGAACTATCACTCTTGATCCTTCTGTTTACAACACGAAACCACGTCAAGTAATCAGTACTGGGTGTAAATAATCTCATTCTTGTTTAGTTATAGGTGACTAAAAATTGCTGTGCATAGTCGGTGAACTAGCGTTATTTTATAGTTCTAATGCAGTAGAACACGTTAAACTTGCGGTCAAAATCAACAGCCGTGGGGATAAGAAAATCGATTTGTAAACATAGTGGTGGTTAAAAAATTTAGAATTATACCTAGCTTAAAAGCTTTTGTTGTCTGATGTTTATTTCTAGGGTGGTGGTTGAGAATGTTTCTTTTTCAAAATGTTTGCCAAATATAATTGCCATGCTTTTATACAAAGTAGGATTAAAGATTTTCTTTCCATTCCGTGTTATCGGAAATCTGTTCCAAAGCGGCTGTTGGTACACGTGTATTGGTATGAGTAGAGTCAGGAGTCGTACCACAAGTTTGTTAGATGAAACTGGCAAAGTAAAGATTATCGTGATCACGTTACCTTAGTAACAAAGATTGCAAGGGCTTGCCAAATACTGGTATGTCATTTCCATTTTCAGCCATATTGAGGTCCTTCTGTTATTCGTATGAAGGAGCAGAAATTATTTTATTTCCGGAGGGAATGTTTGCAAGCAATATCTTAATATATAATTTCAGTTCTTGGAAAGGTGTATATGTTCTCTTGTCTTGCATACAAACCTCCTTGAAAGGTGAATATGATTATGATCTATTCCACCCATGAAGGGGTGGGGTAGCTAAGATTTTTGTTGTCATGAATGATACGAGAAATTGAACGGTTCTTTGTTCAGCGTTCTATAATCTTGGGCATGCTCAAGAAGGACCTCTTTGAAAGGTGATTATGATTATGATCTATTCCACCCATGTAGGGGTGGGGTAGCTAAGATTTTTGTTGTCATGAATGATACGAGAAATTGAACGGTTCTCTGTTCAGCGTTCTATAATCTTGGGCATGCTCAAGAAGGACCTCTGTGAAGGTGATTATGATGATGATCTATTCCAGCCATGTAGGGGTGGGGTAGCTAAGATTTTTGTTGTCATGAATGATACGAGAAATTGAACGGTTCTTTGTTCAGCGTTCTATAATCTTGGGCATGCTCAAGAAGGACCTCTTTGAAAGGTGATTATGATTATGATCTATTCCAGCCATGTAGGGGTGGGGTAGATTGTTTTTTCCAAGAATGTAACGGTTCTCTGTTCAGCGTTCTTTTTTCGTCAGTTTCAACTTTATTTTGGGCGAAGTTAAAAATGTTCAAGTTATTTCGCAAATAATTCATGGGTGTAAAATAATAATCATCATCATTGAGCAAATCAAAAGTGTAAATACGTAGATATACACAACACAAAAGAACCAGTTAAGAATTTATTTATATTATTTGCAAGAATGAACAGGGCTTTATTAACTGAAGAGAAATGATATGGCCGGAAAGGAAAAGAAAACTGCGAAGGAGTGTAGAAGGCAGCTTTGTTTGTTTTCCTTGAAATGTCATAGACGAGTTTGTTGAGCCAGTTTTCATTTGTGAGGAAAGTTTATACCTGGTACATACACTGTATCGCTATATATCACTGAATGAAAATTTATGACGTATGTAGGTAAAAGTATCGCAGCTTTTGTATGACTGAATTGAGAAATAATATTTGTGATTAATTTTGCTACCACTGTAAAGCGTTGGATAAAGAGAATTATTTTGTTTACATTTTTCTTTTCAATGAAATTGAAGTCTTCGGCATATCCACATCGTTGATTGTATAAAATGTGGAATGTTTGTGATTAAAATGTTTTGTAACATTGCATAGCTCCGATACAGATAAAAATAACTATTTTGTGCTATTAGATAGAAACAAATAAATAAAGAGGTCATCAATCTTTCTATTAATATTGTTTTGTGTTGTTGTTTCGTCAACTTCCCTTGCCGCCATCTTAACTTCAATACACGAGAAGACCTGGGATCCAATTTGGGCACAGGGACTCCGCTGATTTCACATTGATTGATGTCAGTAACCCGGATCAAATAGAACGGTTTTCAATGGGTGTCGTTAAACCAAAACCAAAGTAATTACTCTAACCATGCACAAAGGACATGGACAATCCAGTGAACCAATCAAACCTCGGAGTAATTACATGTAGCTCACGCAAAGCGTGAGAAAACGAGCGCGAGAGAGAGACGATTGGACTTGGTTTTACTTCTGATTGGATGAAAAAGTGGCGCGAGTTGCATAGTAATGCAAAACCAATTTCTTTTCGACACCCAAATTAAACCCGCTCTAGCTACTGGAGTAAACTTCAACCGAGGAACGTCCTGTACAACAATATTCTTTACAAGAACATTGCTACGAAAAACTTTGACGAATGTTTTATTTGCTAATTAACAAAAATATTTACAGTAACGTGGTTTTCACCTATATTTTTGGCGTGTTGAAAACGCAGTCTCTTCCTTTCTGACTCGTGTCGTAATGATAGTTACCCCAGAGACAACCATGGTTTAGTTTATCAAGGTGTAACAGCAGTTCCTTACGCGTTGAGCACTTTTACGTCAAAATGATAATATGTGGGAAATAAGCTAGGAATTCCTTGACCTAGGGCCTTCAGAAGACTGAGCACCAACGCAGCGCGCTAGCGTGTGTGGGTTTGTTTGGGAAGCCAACACGACAGCGTCCGTTGTAAAAACGTGGTTGTTATCTTAGTTGACGTAAGAACTTTCGAAGCCAACGTAATCTGCCATTTTTCAGTTTCTTCAGAATCATCAGTTATAAAAATGCTAGAACTGTAGCTAAGTTTTCCGGTTTTCTTTTTATAGCCGTCAATAATTCCTGCGCACCCAAACTATTAAGGAATCGTGTCTTGTAATCCGAGATAGCACTTCCCATTGTAACAAAGCAGATTAGAACTGAAAATTATTTTCAGTATCAAGCATTTCAGGTCTTTAACAGTTCCCTCTCTGTTCGTCTGCACTCATGATGTCACTGATTTCACGGAAAAAACAGAGCCATCCGCTCGGAGTCGATTTCCTTGTGCGTTTGATCACGTGACTCCAACTGGTCACGCGTCTCGTCACATCCTTATCACGTGTTTGCTTCCTTCTTGTCACGTGAACTCGCAAATGTGGCCACAGCCCGCGGGACACCAAATGTACTTTGAAAACCACTCCTGCATGTGAACAAGATGGCCACCATGACCACAGGCTTGGCACCACACGTTAGGACCTTTCACCATCAGATGGCTATAATTGGAAGGGAGAAAAGCGAAAAGTTGCTTTCGCTGCTATGGAAATTACAATATTTAGAGATCAGCCTTAACTGGATTTGATGCGGGTCCTCTATCCTGGTCGAATTCAAATTTGGAAATGTTGGTTTTTGTGGAGGGATGAAAACCGGAAAAACCCGGAGAAAAACCCTCGAAGTAAGGCGAGAACCAACAACAAACTCAACTCGTATATGACAGCGGGCCGGAATTGAACCCGGACCACATTGGTGGGAGGCGAGTGCTCTCAGCGCTGCGCCATCCCTGCTCCCCATGTCTCCTGTTCGACGTCCTTATCGTAAAGTAAAGCAAAACTGATCATGAGAGAGTAAGTCTTACCACAAAGAGCATGGCAACACAAGACTCCGACATCTTTCACAATACCAGCCGGACTTGGTCAGCGGTTTGGAACACCGTCCACATGATGTATACACTGTGGTAGACGCCTGGTAATAACATCAAAACAATTAGAATGAAATAAAGCTCCCGAGTGGAAAGCAAGCCGTAGTCTCAGTCATTTTCTCTATAGTCCTTTGTACGCGCAACATTCATGTGTGCCCCTCCGGAAAGGAAGAGGAGCAAAGTGATCGGTGGATATAACTGACAGGGAAGTAAGAAGCAGTTTATGGCGTGAAATGACTGAGTTCAGTAATTTTTACGACAAAAATCTTTGTATTATTTTTCGGGAATGCGTTTTGGTTTCAGGTTAACATCTCTTATGAGTAAGATTTATCGATATATCTTATTATTGTAATTGCACTTTTTTGCCTTTTTTTACTGTTTTTAGCCTCTCGACATATATCATCCTTTATATTTACCTGATTTAATGAGCTCACTGCCGGAAGACTGGATAATTTGATGATCTGAGTGGCCACTGACCACAACTGAAGACGGCCCAGTAAATCTATTGAGAGAAGAGTATTCAGTACCAGCTTGCTTGCTAATTCACATCATCCAGGTATCCGCCGGCACGGATAGGCACTACTAATCCAGTAATCGCGCAATGAAGATTTCGTTTAAATCCATCAATTTTAAGAGTAGATCACCATACTCACCGATGTACGACATAAGCCACTGCTCTTGAATTTGCTCGTCTATTTTGTGACGAATTTTATCCCCAAGTACTATCAATGCTGATACACACATTTGTACGTCTCCCTGATGTAAAGTCCCAAGCAAAATAAGGTGAAATTAACAAACAAACTAAAATACAAACACAATTTTCGGTATACCACTCAACGCACGTGCTCGATGAGAACAACCTGAGCAATTCAAGAAAGAGAAACTTAAACCACGAGAGAGGATTATAATAATAATAATAATAATAATAACAATAACAATAACAATAACAATAACAATAACAATAACAACAATAACAACAATAACAATAGCAATAGCAATAACAATAGCAATAACAAAAGCAATAACAATAACAATAACAATAATAATAATAATAATAATAATAATAATAATAACAATAGAAGTGCCCTACCTTGTCCGCTAAATGATGAAGCATTTCAACCACCAATGTCGTAAAATCCCACTCTGGGAGAGGCTGGTCAATGAACGATAAAAACACCGTTAAGGCCTGGTTCACACTAGCGACATAACGACATAATCGCTTATGTCGGTAATGTGAACATCGACATAAAGTCATAACGAAAAGCCAGGTTTTTTTTCTTACGTAGTTATGTTCATGCTGTTATGTCACTATTATGTCATTATGTCAGGATGTTCACACTGCAAACAAACGACACAACGTCCTTCTTATGTCGTCATGTCGCTAGTGTGAACTAGGCCTAAGAGTGAATTATTAATACTTAACAATGATAAGAACAACGAAAGAAAAACACAGATTGGAGTTGGATGCTTCACTGGGCTTCTCTAAAATCCTCCAGACATCTGACACTAACGGATACTTTTCAGAATATTTTGCCGCCATATTGACTTTTCGTGACCACTAAAACAATTCCGCTACTCCTGGATGTAGATGGAACGCCAACCTCGTTCCCAGGGTCTCTCTTTCCCCCCCGAGGGGGAAGGAGGAAGAGAGACCCTGGTTACGAGGTTGATAGAACGCCTTGCCAGGGACAGAGGCGATTGGAGGAGTTTTATCAGTGACCTATCTCCGAAATGGAGTACACGGGCTTCAGATCACGTCAAAACAGTCCCGGAACCACTCGGGCGGACGGGTTTCTGTAGCGCGTGAGTTTCTGTTGTGTTATCATTTTCTTACCAAACTTTTGGTGGTAGAAACATCAGGAACTTGATATTCAATACTTGAATCAATTAGCGACTTGGCATTCGTGGCACTTGCTGTTTCAGACTCGATATTGCTAGAATGCGAAAATAAATAACAAGACTGTAGTTAGGGACAGGAAAAAACATACTTTAAGCATCCCAAGGAACAAGTGTTCCCGATTTAGAATCATGGAATGATCGCTGTCAAAGTGTGGTTGCCTAGTAACAGTAGGGTCCCATATGACATCTGCTTTCTTGGGCCATATTTGCCTAGTTCCTGTATCGCGCTTTCCCTGACCTCAACCGCGTGATCGCAGGGACTGATCAAGTGGTCTGGGAATGAGGCAAGGGCCACTCTAAGTCAAGCAGATAAGGAAAATAAGAGAACACTGAATGTCTTGATAAAACACCGAATTCTCACTAATTGTATCACAGGCTTCCAAGTATACCCCCAATGAGAGTTAGGATATTAAACATATAAACCTGGTGGGTGACTCTGGCCTGTCTGTGTCCTGATCAAGTGATGGAGAAGTAGGTCTGTAAAGTAAACAACACAAAATATTAGTACTATTACACAGAGAACAATATTTGTTCAAAATGAAGGAGGTGCGTGACGATAAATTATAAACCAGCCGATATATAGGGAACACTGACCAGATGTTATCTCATGTATGACGCATTAGTACCTCTTACAGAGGTATTTTTGGTTCCCTTACTGATAACTTTAGTCCGATCACATTACAACGAAAATATGTTTACATACTAAGTGCTTGTCTTACGCACATTGAACTAAGAAGACACATTCCTCCTTGTTATGGGCCAGTTTCAATACGCTTTAAAATTCCCTACGTCAGAATTATTTTTATCACGAATATCGATAAAGCCATATAACGTAATGCCTTACTACCTGTCATGAAGTGCAGCCCTGGGCTCAAATGCTTCCTGAAAAAGAAATGTCAAAACGCGAATTAATCAAAATTTGCTTTTATGTTTTCAACTCATGGCTGTTTTCGGTGCCTTCGAAGCTTTAGCCACATTCTAGTAACTAGAATCATTGGCTAGGTTTGTTTTTAATTCATTGCAACGGCTTTGCTTCCAAGAAATGCCATTCATCAGAAATTTTGACAGAGAGTATACCATAATATGCAAGGGAACAGGCTTAGATGACACTCACGCTGGGTAGTTTCCAGTCTTGTGGCGCGTCTCTGAGGGGGACTGTGTCATCATAAAAGAACTGCACATCGTCTTGATCTTCATTGAACATAAACTCTATGAAAGAACATAGTTTAAAGGAGCTCAGTTACAGGTATTTTTAGTTATTTTGGCCACGTACAAAATTACCTTTAAATTGAAGGAAACCTGAAAATAATAGTTAACTAAGATAGAAAAACATTAAATACCTCGATTGCTAAAATTCATCAACTTTGGATTTTGGCCTTCACTGCTTGTGGACGATGATTCATCATTCTCGTCTGAAAAACAACAACAGCAAACAAATTGATCAAGAAAACGCCGAAGTTTACACTTCAAAACGATTACTTGATTTCATACGAACCTTACTTTGGTAGACACGACGTGGGCATATAACATGACGCCTTACTCACCTTGCGTTTCATGCGCTGGCCCGGTGTTTTGTCCTACTGCTGGCTCACCTGATGATTTGGGATTTGCTGATGTGGTTTGTACGTTACTTTGCGTACTTACACCTCCTGTGAAAAATAAAGAAAACCTCTGACATTTTCAATGTTTACACGTGGTCTGTGGATTAGGGTAATCCCATTATCTACCGGTAAAGCGTCTTAGTAATCCCTTGGCGTAAGCCCTGGGATGCTAGAAGTGAGAAACAAACGTTCTCAAGGATGGGGGAATCTTACCGGACAAATTCCCTCAAAAACGTTGCTCTGGCGAAAGCTGCTCACACAACAATCACCAGTCATCAACAGTTTAGATTTGTGTTTGAGGAAAACTCGGTCAGGGAAATCACACGAGCATCGTGACGCCATCGTTTTCGAAAAGCTCCATTTTCAAAATGTTTTCCGTCCACACGAAGACTCAAAGCCGGCGTTTTCAAATTCCTCCGGTTTGAAGAGCGTTTTCGAAAAGCTCCGTATTTGTGACGGATTAGTGTGGACGGTAGGCCCAACCGTAGAAATAAGGCTGCGTTTTCAAATTTCTCCGGCGTAGTGTGGACGCTGTTTAATATCCTTCCGATATTGCTGTTATTGCAGTCTTAAAAATCCCCCTATCCATAAAGTAAAGCTTTCCCAACTCACATTCAGTACCCTAGTATTTGGCAGCAGAAAACTTTGGTCGCCCCCTATCCGCTACCGGGAGAAAAGCCAGTAATAAGTGCAATTTGTGAATGGCTCCAAAATTACACAGCAAAAAGTAGAATTGAAAAAAAAAAGCGTCCAAGAAGCTGGTTTATTTCATTTACCAGCAGTTGGTTCAGGATTCCCTGTCGTGCTCAGGCCTCCGCCACTGCCATGACTCCCTGCTGCAAGAGCAGTCTTAGTACTGGGTCCAAGTGTTGAAACTGTAGTTCCAGATCCCCCTGGGCTGCTATAAAGAGTCTTCAAGACGGACCAGGTCTGCGCATGCTCATGCATCATAAGCCTAGTCGCTACCTAAAAAATTCAAACGAAAACCTGCCAATTAAACCGTGCAAATGGCCCTAAATTCTAAATCCTCTGTGAACCCTTATATTGTAAATTGTCCGTCACGATTCTTGTTTGCTATATCTTCATTACACAAGTAACAAACGTTTTAAATTTCAAGTGAAATATCACGCACGAAAGACCGCGTTTGACCACAT